CCCCCCCCCCACCAACCACCACCACCACCACCACGACCCCGGAAGTGATGAAGTAAAATGGCAATGCAGCCTCAGGGGAAGGGTCCAGGGCTAATGTCTCATTGGCATCAGACCAAATTTTAAAACAACGGCCCCCGAGGGGTAGAAAACGCAATTCTCTCCCCATCTGCCTTCCTCCTCACTGCCATAGATGCCATTGTTGCATCTGCCTAGAGTTTCTCTGCTCTCTTGAGGAAATAGGTGGTCCTCTTAAAACCTTCTCACTACTTACCTGTTCCCAAGGCAAACACAGTCCTGGGGTGGGGAGCAGAGCAGGAGGGAAGGAGTTCCCTCCAATGTGCAGTCCCTCCCAAGTTCACACTGCCTGCACAGAGATGCTGGCGGAAAACTGAAGCGGGAACTACCTGCCCTGCTATTAGACATCAGGGCGGAGCATGAGCCCTCGGTGACCAAGGGCACAGAGCCTGGCAGAGAGCGGGGCCTGGCACAAGGTCATGAGAGAGAACAAAGACCAGGGACTAACCCGTCCAGAGCACAAATACAGGGGAGGGAGGAAGGATGGGGAGCCCATCTCACCAGCCACTTCTGCACCTCCAGACCCTATTTGAAGCCCACTGTCGTTCCCACTTGCAGGAGAGAAATTAGGAAAAGGAGGTAGGAGCAGAGGCTGAGGGAGGAGAGAGAAGGAGGGTGGAAAACCCCAAACCCAACAGGGCAGAGCTACGCTCAGACATCCTGGCTAATACATGTCCCTCAGTCGCCTTTTAAATGTAAGAAGGGATTTAAGACTGAGACTTAAAGCTAAGTTTTTTCTTAAATGTTTGTTTATTTTGGGGGGAGGGGGCATGCACAATCAGGGGAGGGGCAGAGAGAGAGAGGGAGACACAGAAACCGAAGCAGGTTCCAGACTCTGAGCTGTCAGCACAGAGACTGACACGGGGCTCGAACCCCTGAGATCATGACCTGAGCCGAAGTTGGAAACTTCACTGACTGAGCCACCCAGGTGCCTTAAAACTAAGTCTTTTAAACTGAGGTCTTCAAAAGACCTAAGAATAATACAACCCAGCAAAAAATGTATGAAGGAATGTGTTATTTATTTCCTTATAAAGGACTGCCATTTGATGTTTACAAGAAAATAGCAACCCAGCTCAACTAAAAGACCCTCCCTCAGATCCAACCATTCTTCCAAATACTTGTTTTGAACTGAAGGGTAACAGAATATGCCACCCCAAAATGTGACCGTAGTTCAGGGCCTGCCACCCCAAAATATGCCCCTCTGGTATACTATTTTGAGCTGTAGGCACTCGAATAATAACATGCAGGGAAAGGCTTTCTCTGAACTCCCCTTACCTGCCTAAAGACAGATGCTCCAGAAGGAACTCTGTTCTCATCAATCCCTCCCAGGAGTTTCATCACCCAGGGAAGATCGAGACACGTCACAGGAGACCAGAGGCCACCACAAGACCCAGACAGACTTTGTCAGAAACTCTTGTGGCTCCCATCTATCCTTCTAAGGGCCCATCCATCTTTCCTAAAAATTGCTTATTCTTCCCTAAGAGACATATATCCCACCTCTGCTTCCAGCTTTTTCTATTAAGCTGGTATTTAAGCCTGAATTCTAAGTCACCTCAAGGACTTAACTCATTTTTGTCTGAGTATCTCTCATGTATATATCAGGTACACATGTTAATATACTCCTGCTTGTGTTTCTCTTTTTAGTCTGTTTTTAATTTTCCCTATAATTAAAGAGCTCAGAAGGGTAGAGGGAAAGTGATTTTCCTCTCCTACTGCACCAGTGAGTTGGCTAGAAGCATCCGACAGCATGCTAAGTGCCAAATGCCTTTGCTTGCCTATGGATACCACACTTTGTCTCTGCCTCTTATTTTAATATTTATTCATCTTGAGAGAGAGGGAGTGTGTGTGTGTGTGCAAGTGGTGGAAGGGCAGAGAGAGAGAGAGAGAGAGAGTTCCAAGCAGGCTCGTGCTGTCAGCATGGAGCCCAACACAGGCTTGAACTCACGAACTGTGAGATCATGACCTGAGTGATCACGACCTGAACCAAAATCAAGATTCGGATGCTTAACCAGCTGAGCGGCCCAGGCACCCATGTCTCTGTCTTGATTTCTATTTTCACACTCAGACTTTTCAACAACACCCCACCAGCACCTGCTCACTTAACACCATGCTCCATGCACTCTATTATATTATTTGTACATCAATCATTTTCCCTCAGTAGACCTCTATGAGGTTTTTTGTTTGTTTGTTTGTTTGTTTGTTTTGGTTTTGAGACAGGGTGCAAATAAGCGAGGGCAGAGAGAGAGGGAGAGAGAGAGAATCCCATGAGGTGCAGAGAGAGAGAGAGAGAGGAGAGGGGCTCACCCGAAGCAGGGCTTGTGTTCACCTGAAGCGGGGCTCAAGCTTACCTTATGTGGGACTCTAAATCACGAGCTGTGAGATCATGACCTGAAGCCAAGTCAGATGCTTAACCAACTGAGCCACCCAGGCGCCCAGCAGTAGACATCTTTGAAATCAGGGGTCAATCTTACCCATGTCAGTGTGCACTCCCCTCAACGGAGCATCCCCGGCAATGAACACAGGGCTTTGTGCATGCTAAGCATCCAATAAGTGCCTCCTAAAATAGTCCATCAAGCTCCAGAAAACAAATTCCTTTAAAATTGGGAAGTTAAAAATATACTGAGGATTAACTAAGTAGTAAGTGCTCAATAAATATTGGTTGACCATTTTGAAGAACTTCCTTACCCTTTCGATAACTAGTTCTAGAAATGAAACTTCAAGCAGTGAACCATTGGAGCAAGAGTTTTCACCGCTTGAGATGCTTCTGCAACAGGGTGCAGCTAAGCCCCGGCAGGGCTCTGCCTAATGTTCCTGCCTCAGACTCAGCAGCTCCACTGAGATCTCGGAAAATTTGAAGTTGTTTGTCCTATCTTGTTTATGGAAGAACTCAACTGCTTTAAAAAGCATCCAAAACCACTGTATTAAAAGGGAGTATTTTTATCTTTTTATTATCTTTTCAGATATTAAATATTCATATATTTTAAATCTGTTCCTCCTTTGGGACTGATTTAAAGTGCAAGATGAAGCTAGGAAGATTTGTGGAGAGAAGGGTGCAATGTTCCAAATTGTGCCCTTAATGTTCTCATTAAGGAATCACGTCTGGCCCAAAGAATGGACAATGTGTCATGACAACCTAATAAGGAAGCACTACTTACTAGCGATAGGGCTTGGTGAGACTGCTGATTGGTTTTGTCAGCTGACTTACTTGAATGTAGTTGTCAACAATTCCCCAAGCAAAGTCACAGGGAAATGTCCCTTCTAGAGGTTGATTTTCAGGTAAAGGAGGGAAGCCATTTTTCTCTATCAGCTTTTGGTAGAACAAGGCTGAAGATTTCGGCAACAGTTTCTTATCCTGGCTTAGAAAGTCAACATAGAAGAGTCCACGCCTGATGCTGTAACCTCTGTGCCATTCGAAGCCATCCATAAGGGACCAGGCCGTGTACCCAATGACGTCCACCCCATCCAGCCTAATGGCTGCAAAGAGAAGAGAGGACAAGAACAATGTGACCCCTAGCCAGGCACTGGCCTCATGTGTCAAGAGCATTTGAGGGGTTTACTACTTACGGAAATAAGTTGCGTATAATGGTCACTGTTTGGTAAACCAATGACTTTCTTACTAATAAAAGGCTGTCACACTTGGGTAATTCTACAAACAAATGTCTTCACCAACATGCTTATCTCCAGTATGTTTTTACTTGGAATATTTTTATTTCCAGTAGGTGTTCTTTGGGCCTGAGATGATGGTCTTGCTCCATTTTCTATCCTAGCATTGTGCTTGCCACAATAAGTGAACACAATCTTTAAAAGAATAAACTACTTAATATTTTCTTCAGAAAGGGTTGATATTCTTTTTTCTTTAAAAATTGTTTTATTCAGTGCAAATAATAAGAACCCAAAAACATGTACAGAGATCTAGATGTCCTGGGATTCACTTAATCCTTAATATAATCTAAAATTCTAGAGTACTAACTCTGAAAGTCAAGTGTTTTCACACATTATAACCCAGTTTCTCATTTTCAAAATGAGTTAAAAATGAATTTAAGTTCCTCAAGTCCCCAAATGAGAAAGGTGTTACATAAGTGCATTTCTACTATTGCCAAAATGAATTTCTTCATTACAATTAAAATCTATAAATTCACATAGTTTATTACAGATCATCTGAAAGATTTTCCTGTTGCTTTCAGCAAGAAATTAGAATTTTATCCCCAATCCTACCTTTTAAGGTTTCCATTATGAATTTTTTGAGGTAATACATATATTTGGCGTCGTCTCTCTTGGTGGTCCCTGAGACAAACCAGCCATTTTCCACAATAAATATTTGAGGGTGGTTATATTCAAGGTCAATCCAAGAAAGGAGTTGCCTCAGGCTGGGAGATTCTAACTGGCGGAACTTCATGTGGGGGTCCAATAGTTGAAAACTCAAGGTGGGTCCAAAAGAAAGAGCAAAAAAGTCAGCTGTTCCCTTAATGAACTTTTTCTCAGCTTCAGTAAAATCAGGCAGAAGACGTGAAAGATTATTCTTCATGCTCTCAGGATAGTCACCATCAATAAATATGGGTTTGGCAAACCAGCCTAGTACAAAGTCAAGAGACTTTTGACATTCTTTGATGCTGTGGTCGGTCATTCTTCGAGGATTGATCCAGTGGGAGCTTAGGGCGATGGAGACCTGGCCTCCCTGAGTTGGACGGAAAGAAGTATTGTAGAGATGCCAGATTTTGGCATGAGCCTATAAAAGAAAAGCCATGGTGAATTTATCTCTGCGAGAAGAAATATGTAATACATTTCTGAATCCTCAACTCTATTGGTGTCTGTTTCACATCAAGCCTAACTTAACGAATCACCCCACAATGTAAAAGTCACCTGGAAACAATAGATTATTTCAGGGGTAGGTCAGCCCACAGCGAGCTGCTACCACGACTGGAATTATTTCTATTGTTTTTCAGTAGCCAGTGGAAAATGTGAATTTCTTGTCTTGAAGTCATTATTCATACTTTGAGAAGTTAATGAAATAAGAATTTGTTATAATATCTTACTACTTAATTGACTTTGGATTATGTAATTTTTAATTAATAGGCTTCGTGAAAAGAACCAATCCTGCATTATGATCGCACCAGGAATTTCTAAATAGGATTATATATTCTTTATCCTAAGAGACTGGGAGTTTTCGAGGTGACTCAAGTTGTTGGAGTCAATTTGATATTTTGTATTCATCTCTGACAGCTAAAATTCTAACACGTGTCCCTTTATTCTTAATTTTTATTCTTCCCTAAGAAGAATCAGCACAATAAAGTAAAGGGCCAACTCCAATATCTAGCCTCGGCCCACCCTCTGGAACTCTGGGACAGTGTTGGTTCGTACAGGACCAGAAGTGCGAGGGTACGAGCCAAGAGCAAGAATCACCCAAACTTGGCTTTGAGGAGATCAGCTGTCCATAGTTAGTCAGCACTCAGCTGGGAGTTTCCTACAGCAATGAAATGGGCTTTGCTTAAGATTAACTTTATACTCCCATAAAATCTTGCTGACTTCTGATATCTCATTTTCGCTTGTTTTCTTTGTATTTATGAAGACCAGTGAGGATTACAGGGTTTTTCCTCCCTTATTTGAATTTTCTCTTCACTTTTGAATTCCTTGATTTACTCTCCATATTTTTCTACAAACACAAGGGCTGTTTATTGGCCTTTTACTCCCCTAATATATCCTCCTTGAAAACCTCATTCCAGTTCTCTGTTTGACTCATATTCTCCAAAATGATCATGCCAATTTCATCCCGCTCCCTGGGCCTGAAGAAGCTCTTTCAGTATGCCAAATATGCTCTTCATTTTCCCTAAATATTCTTCTCGTGGTTCATTTCAGTGCAGGTGTCCAAGAATGATCTTATCACTGTTCTTATGAGTTCAGCCAAATATTTCAGTGGAATAAAATAGTTTATGTCTAACTTTCATTTTTAGTTTCTTAGTAAATATCTACTATGTTTCATTCCACTGAATATATTTTTTCATGACCTGAAGCATCTACCCATATGCTAAGAAGGAAAGGGAGAATAAAAGATTGATCAGAAGAATAGTAGCATTCACCCATGTGGTTCGGCGGGGGGGCTCAGTCGTGCTACGCTGCTGGTCTTGTGGTGTCCCCCACTTTATCTTCCTCCCCTCCACCACCCGATTTCTCTCTTCCCCATTGTCAAGACATCTCATCATGTCGCTTAACAGTTAAGTAGAAAAGAAAAGGAACATCTCAGGCTAGTCCTCAGAATGTCAGATCAGGGCACTTTCTTAACTTGGCCCAACTGAGGCCCACAGGCACTCGTGTTCTAAGTCTAACAGACACACCTCGACAGACCAGCTGCTGTGATAGAAATAAGAGGCCAGGCAAGAGTGACAGCAACCCAAGAACTTCCTAATCTGGGTCAGTTTTGCAGGTAGCAGAAGTAGGAGTCCTACCATAGAATAGCCTACACTAATGGACCACTCCTCTAACCTTGGATATTTTGACATGGTGCAGAGGAAGCCTGGCTAGGAAACCAATGCCCTGGGCCACACAGAAATGTACACGTGGTCTCTAATGTCAGATAAACTTCCTGCCCTGTCACATTTTTGGGTGCCTTTAACCACACTACCTAAACTGGCAGGTGAGACTAACTTCCTTGTGTCTTTCACAGAGATGTTATGACAATTAAATAATTTACATAAAACACCTAACACAGAGTCTGCATTCAATAAGGTCTCCATGAATGCTTACTCCTTCTCTCCTTAAAGGATGAACAGAAAAAAAAAAAAAAAAGGAAAGCATAACAGGTCCAGGGAATATCACCTGCTAAGGAATTCAGCCCAAGAGCACCCAAGTGAGGTACTGATGCCACCTGGGGTTTGGATTAGAAGAGGCTTAGGGCTTAGGCTGGGATCCCATCTCCCCCTTCCATTACCAGTGTGAGCCTCAGGTACTTCTCAGTATCAATGGGGACAGCATCTATTCTCCTGCAAGGACACGATGGGGATCATGTGATATGATGCAAGTAAAAATGTCTACTAAGTAGTTTATTATTTTATAGAAGTATATATTTGCAACATTGGGAAGTTGATGGTTAATTTTATGTGTCAATTTGACTGGACTTAGGTCCCCCCAGATAGCTGGTAAAATGCTTGTCAAGGGTTTAGCTAAACTATGCCATGGTAATGCTGCCTCAGCAGCCATTTTGTTTGGCCATGCAGCCTTGAGGGACCTTGACCTGACATCAGCCCCTCCTGCAAGTGCATGCCCTAGACAGCAGCCTGCAGGGTCACAATCAAATTTAAGGTCCTGACATGACCTCCCTAACCGCCCTTGTGATCCAGAATCGCCCCTTGCTCCCAGCCCCTGTATGCCTTATGGGCCCTTTAGATAGACCACCATGGAGCTTACTAAAATCCTCTTTCTGGTTTGAATTGACCAATCTGGCCCTTGCCTAAGAACCCTAATCAAGCCATGTATTTGGGTTCTGCCTCTCTCTTTGTCTGTACTCTGCCTTGACCTCCCCATGTGGCCCCTTAAGGCCGAGTACTTCCTCCAGGACCTGTGAGTAACAGACTTCTTTATTTCAAGTTCTCTTGTGCTCTGTTGTTGAACTGGGGCTCACCATACAGCACTATGCTCCACTTAACAAATGTTAATTTAACAAAACCATAACAACATTATTTCAGGGTGTGTCTATGAGGGTATTTCTGGAAGAGATTAGCATTTGAATAGGAAGGCTGAGTAAAGGAGACCACCCTCACCAATGTGGACTGCCATCAACCCATGCATTGAGGGGCTGAAGAGAACCAAAAAGGGAAGGAAGGGTGAAATGTTTTTCTGGAGATTGCAAACAAATATAGAAAGCATCTTGGATGTCACTTGTCTTAACCACTCACCCTACTCCCCAAACCCCTACTTGATCTGTTATTTGACTGCTCTCCACCACAGCCCAACTTGGTGGTCATCCCACTCATGGAGGCCCTCCCACCCTCACCCCCACCCAACCTGCCACACTGGGCTGCATGTCCCTCCTCTGGGTGCTCTCTGAGTCTCAGGCATACCTCTCTTGCATCTACTGCAGGTAATGATGCCTTCCTCCCCAGACTGAGCTCCCTGGCTTCCCTCATCCCCTTCCATTGCCTGTTAAACTGAACTGAACCCTGCTTCATTCACCTTCATTCCATTTTCTGATGGTAGATTTGAGTAGTTGACTACTGTAAGGCAAGGTGTGGGACGGTCACTACTTAAGGTGTGGCAACAACTAAGGACGATTAAGAGGGACACATGGTTATGTTTGGTTTTGCATTGCTTTCTAATTATTCCAGGTACATTAATCTTACAAACTTGTTATTTTAAGATTGACATTTAATAAAGCTATTGACATAGACTCAGGGAAGTAATTAAGGGTGTATGTAAGAATGTTTATCTATGAACTATTTCCAATAGCGAAATATTGAAACAATTGAAATGTCCAATATTCAAATACATTCACACCCATACGTGCATTTTTTAACACATTATGGTATGACTAAAGATATACTACTATTCAGACATTATAAACAATACGGAAGAACGTCCATTTACATGTTAAAACTGTTTCTAAAATACTAACTGAACAGAAAAGCAGGCTACAAAGTAATAAGTAGAGTTTAACAGAATTTTTTATTAAAGGAAAACACATACAAATCTGAAATGATTTATAAGTTGTTAAAAGAGCTTTTGTTTTTTTGGTTTTTTTGTTTGTTTGTTTTTTTTTTGTTTTTTTAAAAATTTTTTTTTTTCAACGTTTATTTATTTTTGGGACAGAGAGAGACAGAGCATGAACGGGGGAGGGGCAGAGAGAGAGGGAGACACAGAATCAGAAACAGGCTCCAGGCTCTGAGCCATCAGCCCAGAGCCCGACGCGGGGCTCGAACTCACGGACCGCGAGATCGTGACCTGGCTGAAGTCGGACACTCAACCGACTGCGCCACCCAGGCGCCCCATTAAAAGAGCTTTTGTAGCAGGATTGTGGGTGGTATAATTCTCTTCAATTTGCTTATCTATATTTTTTCATTTCCTACCATACACATGTATTGCTTTAGAGTTTTGTTTTTTTTTTTTCAGTTAAAATTTAAATATGAAAAATAGCTCATAGGAGCTGGATGGCTGGCCCTGCTGAACTGTCCATGATAGTAATTTGAAAGCCGTGATCTCAATAACCCCTGCCTAATTTTTCTTTGTTGTGCCTTATGGTCTCTGCCTCAAGTCCTGAATCCTGGGTGCATGGAACCCTCCACGAAGGTCTGAAATCGCTAGGCTCCCATGCCTTCATGGGTGCATCTCTCTCAAGTTTTCCTACCCCCAGTCCCTCCAGTTCCACCCCACTTCAAAACTCAGCTCAGACATCACCCTTCTGGGAAGTCTTCCCTGACATCTTCCCTCTCTCTGCCCTGAAGTGTCCACTCCATGTGTCTCCACAGCTGCCCTCTATTAAAAGACCTTCCCCATATTGGGTTGCATTCATTCAAGTATCTAGATTGTAGGTGTTTCCAAGTCTTTGACTAGGTCTTTTATGTGTCTATTCCCAGATTCTAGCAAAGTGTCTGGGGCAGAATACGTATAACAAACAGATATGGAGGAACGAAGGCTGGCAGTGAAAACCAGACCAAAGAGTGTCGACACAAGCGAACATTTTTCTGAGCCAGAACAGGAAAACTCTCATCACATACCCTGGTTGTATTTTATTTCTGAGACCTCGAAAGACAGAAAACT